GATTGATGATGACTTTCCGGCCAAGATGTTGCAGTGTGGTTTATCGCTCCGGTTGTTGCATCCGAATGCAATAAAATGTCTAACTATTGCTATCGTTGCCTTTTGAGTGCTTCAGATTCTCGATAAAAGCAAAAAAATAGCGTAAAATGCGAGTTGTTTTTAAATATACAGAGTTACCTTTGAGAATTTACAAAGCCTTTGGCCCAAGTGCCTCAATTCCGTGCACCTTTAAACAAAACCGCTTGTACGCGGGCTCAGATCTAATATCTGCCATTCTGGTGATCTCTTATTTCTACTTTCAAACTTTCTATTGAAAATCAAAATCGACGTTATTATATGAAGAAATTTCGCTAGTTTTGTCTTCCCTTTGGAGCGAAATTGGATGCAATCTTTGTTGCCTTAGACGTTACTGTATCAGGGGTTTAAATTATCACTGAACGGCACCTAAAATAGCAAGTTTGTCGTAACAATGTAAAGGCAAAATTACGATAGCAGTTTATTTGACAAGTTACCAAAAAAAGTATTCCAATATAACCACTTAATGGCCTAGGTTTGAGATTTTTCTAAAAATGAGAGGACAGTCGAGGTTACCAAATTTATCATTATATGACTATCAAACGTTTCTGATAAAAACAAAGAAAATTAACTAGACCGGTAGCTTTTTCAAATGGGATAGCTTTGATGAGGACCCACTAAGACATACTCGACCACGTTGACAAGTTTAGTCAGATAGTTTGCACTTGCTTAAAAAGAAGAGTTAAACGACAAGCAAAAAATCAATAATTCCAGATTTCTAGAACTAAAAGCAAATTAAAAGTGCCACAGGTGACTGCAGACATTTCTCGAGTATACTTACATTTGCAGGAGCTTTCTCTGCATCCTCCAATTTGCTGTAAGAAGTAAAATGCAACATGAAATTTTAACTTTACCGGCTAACAGTACTAGGTTCCTTAACTTAGATATTATAATTAGTCGTGATGTATTAAATGATTAGATGTACCTGGAATTGACTAGATCAAAAACAGGAGAGGTCTATAGACTGCTCATTCTAGATTATTTCCTTTTACTAATTTCTGGCGATGATAACTGGCTGTAGAACTTCATTTCGAAACTTTTTAGCCCTTTTGCGACCATAATTTCAACCCAGCCTCTCAGCGGTGCTATATGCTCCT